AGAAAACATCGACAAACAGATTGCCAGGATTAGTCCGTATGAGCTAAAATCGGCGGACACACCTGCGCTAGTTGTCACCCAAATAAAATTGACTGGTGATAACTATGAAGAATGGGCACGAGCAATGCGAATCGCTCTGCGTGCCAAACGAAAGTTTGGATTCATAGACGGATCCATTCCTCAACCCGAAGACGATGATGAAGAATATGAAGAATGGTGGATCGTGAACGCCATGCTGGTTTCTTGGATTTTCAATACAATTGATGGATCTTTACGAAACTCGATCACTCAGGTCGAGGAGGCAGCGGTATTATGGAAGGATATTAAGGATCGGTTTTCGGTTGCAAACGGCCCCCGTATCAATCAACTCAAGAAGGAATTGGCTAATTGTAGACAGAACGGGCAACCCGTCGTCACATATTTTTCAAAATTGAAGAATATTTGGGATGAACTAAATACTATAGAGAAGATTCCAACATGCAAATGTCACGGTTGTAAGTGTGGTATTACCAAACTTATTGAGCAACAGAAGGAGAATGAAAAAGTTCATCAATTCTTGATGGGATTGGATAATGAGGGCTACGGTAGCTTGAGATCAAACATTTTGGCTACTGAACCCCTGGCAGCCCTCAATCGTGTGTACTCTACGATTATTCAGCAAGAAGGAGTATTGAAAGTTACTCAAGAAGAAGAAAAGAATCCCGTCGGTTTCGCCGTCACCAACAAAAGAGACCGTGACATTATAAAAGACACGAGGTGCAAACATTGTGGGATGACCGGACATGAGATTGCGGGTTGTTTTCAACTTATCGGCTACCCCGAATGGTGGGGTGACAGACCACGTGGCCAGGGCAGCGGGCGTGGGGGCAATCGAACCGGTCCACCCCGTGGAGGATCAGTCGCTGGACGAGGAGCTGTCGGGCGTGGAATAGGTGACCGCCGTCACCGTGCAGGCAGTGGCGGAGCCCCTGGGGGGCCGACTGTTCTCACAGCAAAAACAAACCCCTCTGGGGGTGAACGAGAACAGCTTACACCTCAGCAATGGGAAGCTTTGGCAGGAATGTTGAAGGAAAAAGAAATTCCCATTGAAAACAAATTCTCAGGTAACAATGTCCCAACTTGGATCATAGATAGTGGAGCAAGTCAACATATGACAGGTGATGCAAGCTGTTTAATGAATATCGAAGCAACCAAAGCTTGTTCGGTTGGTCTACCCAACGGAGACACGGCTACAGCTGATCAGAAAGGAAGCATTAAGCTAACAGACTCTATTTTTTTGACGGATGTGCTACTTGTTCCTCAACTTACTTGCAATCTTATATCTGTTTCTCAGCTTCTTGCGGATAAACAATTAATTGTTCAATTTGTTAACCAAGTTTGTATTATACAGGACTCTATTTCGAAGACGGTGATTGGAGCGGGTAAACAACTTGGAGGGCTGTACTATTTGCAGAAAGGTGTGACCAATAAAGTCTGTGCCGTAACCGAAGATGATGACGTGAACACTTGGCACAGGAGATTAGGACATCCACCCCATCCCATTATCCAACTTCTTCCTCAAGTATCTTCTTCTAAAAATAATGTACTTCATTCTCCTTGTGATGTTTGTTTTCGTTCCAAGCAATGTCGTGACTCTTTTCCGAATAGCTCAAATAAAGCCAATTTTCCCTTTGCTTTAATTCATTGTGATTTATGGGGTGCTTATAGAACTGCATCTAGAACTGGGGCTAGATATTTTTTATCCATTGTTGATGACTTTTCTCGGGCCGTATGGGTCTACTTGTTACACAATAAAGATGAAACCCCTTCGGTCCTCCTCAATTTCTTTGCCATGGTGAACCGCCAATTTGATAAAAATATTAAAATGGTTCGTAGTGATAATGGAACAGAATTCTCTTGCATGAAACCATTTTTTCAGTCTCATGGCATACTCTTTGAATCTTCTTGTGTTGGCACCCCACAACAGAATGGTAGGGTGGAACGTAAACATCGTCACATACTCAACGTGGGCCGTGCTTTACGGTTCCAAGCCAACCTTCCTATTGAGTTCTGGGGGGATTGTGTCTTAACTGCAGCCTTCTTGATTAACCGCACTCCTACTCCTCTTCTCAAAAATAAAACACCCTATGAAACCCTGTTTGGAAAACCTCCGGTGTATGCCCACATTAAAACCTTTGGATGCCTGGCTTATGCCCATAACCAAAATCATCGTGGCGACAAATTTGCAAGCCGATCACGACGGTGTGTTTTCCTTGGATATCCGTTTGGACAAAAGGGCTGGCGTCTCCTCGATTTAGACACTCATCAAATCTTCATCAGTCGAGATGTCCGGTTCTTTGAACAACATTTTCCGTATCTCTCTCCATCCCTTGAACCCACCTCATCTCCCTCGGATGATCCCACACCTACTTCAGATGATGATGAGCCATCGTCCGTCCCTAACCCATCACCTGTGTCCACCATTCCGCCAAACGTCGCCTCCGAAACCTCCCTGGAAAGCCCATCCGAAACCCCCCCAGAAACCGAAACACAGCTCCCTTCGACCGGAGGCCCCACTGGCGCCGGTCCTAATCCCACTGAACCCGGCAACCCCACTGGTGCCGGTGCTCCTAATCCCTTGCGCCGAAGTTCACGCGATCGTCATCCTCCGTCACGCCTTCAAGACTTTGTTGTTCACACCATTCAACACCCTTCGGCTGTTTCCTCGTCTCCGACTCCGCCCTCAGGTACGGTTCATTGTATTACAAATTTTGTTAACTATGACAATTTTTCTTTATCCCATAGATGCTTTTTAACAGCTATAAGTGCAGAGGTTGAGCCAACCTATTTCTATGAAGCGGTCAAGCACCCACATTGGAGACAAGCTATGCAAGATGAAATCCGGGCCCTCGAGGCTAATGAAACTTGGTCCCTTGTTCCTTTGCCTCCTGGACGCAAGACAATTGGATCAAAGTGGGTTTACAAAATCAAGCACAATTCAGATGGTTCTGTCGAACGTTATAAAGCACGGTTGGTGGTTCTTGGGAATCGGCAAAAGGAGGGGATTGATTTTAAAGAAACCTTTGCTCCTACAGCCAAGTTGGTTACGGTCCGCACACTCCTTGCCGTTGCTGCCATACGTCATTGGAGTCTCCATCAGATGGATGTTCATAATGCCTTTCTTCATGGCGATCTCAAAGAGGAAGTATACATGCGTTTACCTCCGGGTCTTGCCTCTCGCCATCCAGGGGTTGTTTGCCGCTTGCACAAATCTCTCTACGGGCTGCGACATGCACCCCGTTGTTGGTTCGCTAAGCTCACCAATGCCTTACGAGCTTATGGATTCACTCAGTCAAAAGCTGACTACTCTCTCTTTACCTACGTCAGGGGGGGCGTCGAAATACGCGTTCTTGTTTATGTCGATGACCTTATCATTGCTGGTACTGCTGAAGGTGTTATAGCTCAGTTCAAGCGCTACCTCTCTGACTGTTTTCATATGAAGGATCTGGGACAATTGAAGTATTTCTTGGGAATTGAAGTGGCTCGGAACAAATCGGGAATATTTTTGTGTCAACGCAAATATGCGTTGGACATTTTGACGGAATCTGGGATGCTAGGCGCACGGCCCGCTACCACCAAATCACCACTTGGCTCTAGCATCTGGCGCCGAGCTCTCTAATCCCGGCACTTATCGGCATCTCGTTGGGCGTCTCATCTACCTGACTATCTCACGACCGGATTTATCTTATGTTGTGCATACCCTCTCTCAATTTATGGGGACCCCTCGACAAGAACACTGGGACGCCGCTCAACATGTACTCCGCTACCTGAAATCTCGCCCGGGCCAGGGCCTCTTTCTTTCGGCCAACTCGTCTCTCTCTCTCACGGCCTTTTGTGACTCCGACTGGGCAAGCTGCCCCTTGACTCGACGCTCTGTGACAGGATATTTCATTAAACTAGGGGACTCTCCCATTTCTTGGCGCACGAAGAAACAGAATACGGTTTCCCGCTCATCTGCTGAAGCGGAATACCGCGCAATGGCCACTACCGTCTGTGAATTAAAATGGTTGCGCAACCTCTTGATCTCTTTGGGCGTGCGACACCAAGCACATGCAACTCTCTTTTGCGATAGTCAAGCTGCTCTTCATATTGCCGCAAATCCTGTTTTCCATGAGCGGACAAAGCACATTGAGATTGATTGTCACTTTGTTCGCGATGAAATCCAACGTGGGGCTCTCCAAACTCGTCACCTTGCTTCCGCCGAGCAGCCCGCTGATCTTCTTACCAAGGCCTTGGGGGCGGGCCCGTTTTCTCATTTGCTGTCCAAGCTGGGCACTCGGAACCTGCATGCTCCAGCTTGAGGGGGGGGTGTTGCCGTACGGCTCAAGCACAAAGGCCGAATCCCACTAGGATTCGGTTTACCTTATTTGCTTAAACTTCCTTGTTTCCTTGTATGCTTTAGTTTCCTAGTTAGAGTTTATTTCTTTTCCCAGTTGGAGTTGGTTTCTTCCCTTCTATAAATAAGGGAGAGGTCTCTTTGTATGGGGGAAAATTCAGAACAACAGAATATACAAAACTATTTTCTCTCAATTGTTTGTTAACAGAAACTAACTAACATANGCACAAAGGCCGAATCCCACTAGGATTCGGTTTACCTTATTTGCTTAAACTTCCTTGTTTCCTTGTATGCTTTAGTTTCCTAGTTAGAGTTTATTTCTTTTCCCAGTTGGAGTTGGTTTCTTCCCTTCTATAAATAAGGGAGAGGTCTCTTTGTATGGGGGAAAATTCAGAACAACAGAATATACAAAACTATTTTCTCTCAATTGTTTGTTAACAGAAACTAACTAACATACAACATCTACCACAAATAGGATTAGGAAGCTGACTAATAATGAAACACTACCATAACCAATACTACAATAAGTACTATTATTATTATTGTCTAACAATAACGTCACTTGTGGAGTCAGGGGAGTTGAATGAGGCCAGGAAGATGGCGATGGAGTGGGAAGCATCTGGCAACTTGACTAGTCTCGATGACTTAAACATTTCAAAGTTGATCATTGACAGATATTGTCAAGAGTCTCTCTTTGTGGAAGCAGAGGCAATGGCGGAAGCTTGGACAAGAGAGAAGAGGTGTTGGGTTCGAGGGATTTGGTTGATACTTGCTTGTCATTACCAGGAACAGGGTAAAATGGTAAGAGGATTGGAGTGCATGCAGAGATTTCTTTGTTTAACACCAAGTCTCAAATTGTGGGAAGAGGATGATGAGGTGTTTAAGATGTTTCTGTTTATGGTTGAATATTCAAGAGGCATGAATGCAGCAGGTTACTTTATGAATCGCAAGTATGATTTGTTTGGCTTGAATGAGAGTTTATGCCACAGAGCATATGACCAGCAAAATATTTAGGGAGTGTCCCTGTCGTCTAAGTTAAATTTGTTCTTTGCTTGTTCCTGCTTTGTTCGTTTTATTCACTCGGGTTGGGATTCGGAAATAGTGTCTGTACTTTCAAGTAGGGATATACATTTTTTGTCGGCTTTTATTGGATTGTTGTTGTTAAGTTAAACAATAATGTCTTGCTTGACATAAGTTTAATTTGATTCGTATTGTTAAAGTAATAAATTATATTGGTACAGACCTACAGTTTTCATTCTTTTGTCCAAAGTTCACAGATTCCGAACAAAACATTTGTGTAATATTTAAATTTGAGTAAATTCCATAATTGGTCTTTTATAACAGGGGGTTTCCATATTTAGTCATCTATTATCAAATATGACCCCCATAGTCCTTTTTTAAGGGTACCTTTCCATAAATGGTCCTTTTTTTATCTTCTACCGTGTTGATGTTCATTTAAAGGCTAAAACTATAATTTGACATCAACATTATGTCTAGTGACGTGTTCTGATATTGGTTAAACGGATAACACAAAAATAATGACTATGATTGTGGGTAAGGATTTTGACGAAAGACCACATTTGTAGACAATAGTCGTAGTAAAAAGCGACTGTAATTCACAAACGATGCAAATGGAACAGCCTTTGGAATTGTGTATGACAAAAAAGATATATTTTCATTGTAAAATTACACTTTTAGCCCTCAAATTAACACTAACATGATAGAAGATCAAAAAAAGGACTATTTGTGGAAAGATACCCATAAAAGAAGGACCACTGGGGTAATATTTGATAATAGAGGATTAAATAGGGAAACCCTTCTGTTATAAAGGACCAATTATAGAATTTACTCTTTTAATTTTCTAATCCGAAAATATTACATTACGTTAACTCAATAAAAAAATTAGAACATGTCATTAGTTGTTTTAATTTAATAAAATACTCAAGTCATAAGATAGTATGTGCCATTGAGAAAATAATGTAGGTGTTGAATTAATTCTTAATTGAATGTTTCAAATTTTGAAAAAAAAATATGCACCCGAATATAACAGTATACCTTTGTTCGATAAATATTTTCGAACATGTAATAATTTCACAGACTAGGAATGTAATACTCCCTCCGTCCCATAAAACATTTCTCCTTTCTTTTTTCATCCGTCCCATAAAACACTTCTCATTTCTATTAAAAAGTCACTTTTACCCCTTACTTTTTCATACTCTACCTATCACATCATACCTTTTTACTAATAATCTACCCATCAAATCCTACTTTTACCCATCACATCAAAGGACATTTTTGGAAATTCAATACCAAAATACACTCCCTTAAATTTCTTCAAAAAGCAAAACATCCCATGTTTCATGGGACGGAGGGAGTATTTGATAATAAAACTAAATAAATGAGCATGTAACAAAGATCACAGTTTTCTCTCTAGATTGAATAATTTCTTCTCTTTCAATGAGCTTGAAGCTCTACGTTTCTCCATTAATGGCTTTTAAGCCAACACTATGTATCGTGTGATCTCCCGATATTAATAAAAATTCTCCGTTGTCAAGGTACCGCCAAAAAAAGGCACGTAGTTTTCTTATGATTGGGTTTCCACGTCAAAATTCTTATGTTTATATTTTGGTATATTTTGTTAGACTAGTTTATCGTTCTCGCCCGGCTAAGAACGGTATGCCAGTCGAGATAATTTACACCATCTATAGGGAAGAGTACATTTGCTAACCTGCATTGTAAGAGATACTCCCTCCGTCCCATTTTAAATTACCTGTTTGCCTTTTTTCTCCGTTCCAAAATAAATTGCCTGTTAGTTGTTTTCGTAAACTATTAAAAATAAAATACCTAAACTACCCTTAAAATAAGTCATTCTTATCTTCTCATTCATCATTACCCCTCTTAAAAAGTAATGTCAATTTTGAAAAATCAACTCTATTTTTTATTTTCCTTAAATATGCCCAAAAGTCAAAACGGGCGATTTAAATTGAGACGGAGGGAGTATATCATAACACGAGTGGAAACATAACAACTGTCCTCCATTTACTTGGAGACATTTTTAAGGTTATATCCAATATTCGACATATTTTTCTCAAAATAATTGGAAAAAAAGATCAGATACAATAGGGTCCATTTGGTATACAGAATAGGCGGAACTAGAATTGAATTGGAGTTGGAATTCTATAAAATTAATTTGGATCAATTCTAAATTCATATATTTTTGTGTGCTATGAAACAGTAAAATTAAAATTCTTGTTTTTTTTTTCTTCAGAAATTGTCCCATGCTTGCCCTTGACAAGAGGGTGCAACACACCTTAGTTTTTATGAGAACAAATAATCAAAACAATGAAGACAAACATTGTCTTGTAGCAACCACCCTACTTTTTTTTTGGTACAAAAGATGCTTATATAATTGAATGAATTGTGGAAAGAATTGGCATTCTACCAAAGATGGGGAAATGAACATTTATATACAAAGATGAGAGCCACTTTTGAACAGTGTTCCCGCCTAAAAAAATTGGGCCGGGTAACACTGTTCATGAATAGGATAAAGAAGATGGGCTGACTCCTGGTAGGCTTTTGGGTTGGGTGAGGCATGTGGGTATAGACTTGCTTTAGTAGGCTTTTAATTTATAGATAAAATAATGACAATTATTTACTTTTATTGAAAGATGTGCTTTAAAGTTTAAACATTCCTATCAGTTTGCTACGAGCTAAGCATGCCATTGATAAGTGTACCCATTAACATAATAGATTTCCAAATCTTTTGAAAAGTGTACCATTATTATACTTCTTTTGTATCTAATTTGATTACAAATTGAGATTTATAAGGAAAAAATATTTTTATTTTCGAAATAATTTTATTTACAAATTGATATATCAACAAAAAATAAAAATTATATATTAAAAATTTACGTCTAAAGTTCTACAAAACAAGATATGACAAGAATATTTTATTTTATCATAAATTCGCATAAATAAACAAAAATTATCGAAAAGAGAGAAAATATTGTAATAAAAAAGGGAACAGATAAAGTACTTTATTCAACTAGCCATTTAGTGTATAAAATAAATATAAGCACTACTAATCCACTACTGTAAAATACAAGTCCTGAACAAAATGAGCAGCACAACACACCAGTTGAGTGTAGTGAGGCTTTTTTTCTTATATAGGAATCCCAATGCCAAAACTATTTGATTTCATTTTTTTGGGATCCTTTAATTTTTTAGGGTGGTGATATAAAATTATGGTCAAAATCATTTCTTTTACTCTCTCCGTCCTAAAACTTTCTTCCCGATTCGTAAAACGAAGAAAAATCCCAAGTTTTTTCAATCTATTTTGTTTAAATATTGGTATAGAAATAAAAATTAAAACCTACATATTTAAAAACTACATCAAAAACTCAACAAAACAAGTGGTGACAAGAATATTTTATTTTATCATATAGGCCATGAAAAAACACAAATAAATATAAATTCCCGTGAAGTTAGAATAGTGCTATGGGAAGAAAGTTTTAGGACGGAGTAATAGTTTGTCAAAATGCAATAAATATTAAAATAAATCAGGAACGCGCATGCAACACTCTTTTAGTTGCATACAAATTTACTCTTTCACGCAAACCAGTTTTATAGCGTTGCAATGAAGAAGAATTCAAAAGCTCTCATACAAATGTAATTTGGCTTTGGCAATAATTGAAAATCTATGTTTGTATGTGAACATCAGAACTTTTAGAAAATCAGAATGCGAAAGCTAATTGTATCCAAATTGACAAAAAAAGTTTAACAAAAAAGGGTTCACCAAACAGATTGGAGCTAGAAAGCGTTCTCATCAGATATGTGAAATGGATTGAACAAAATTATTGACCGTGCAACGCACGGGTACGAATCTAGTTGCGAAGCAAAAGCATGCAGAATCGTCTACTTTATTGTCGAATGAAGAAGTTTTGTTCTACATTATCATCACTCGCATACCGGTCGATTTCACTCAGCCATTGTTTGACATTATTAAAACTCTCTTCATCAGTTACGTCATAGACAACAATATAATTATGCCCTGAGCCCCACGATAGTAACTGCTGGTAATTGTCCTAAACCGTTCTTGACCAGCTGTGTCCCAAATTTGGAGTTTTATGGTTTTCCCATCTTGTTCCACTGTACGGATTTTAAAGTCTACACCAATGGTACTGATGTAACTCTCGAGATATGAATCATCAGCAAACCTCAGAAGAAGACATGATTTTCCAGCACCAGAGTCTCCAATTAGCAGAAGCTTAAAAAGGTAGTCGTATTCCGGAGGGCAAGGTTCGAAATCGGAGCTGCAGGATTGAAGATCGGAGCTGCTGAATTGAATTCACCAATTCCAATTCCATAGTTTTCCTTAAGGCCCCGTTTGGTACATCGAATTCAAACGATAAGGATTTGGAATTGAGGACTTCGATTCCAACTCTAGTGTTTGGTAGCACAAAAATGATGTGAATTTGGAATTGATAATGCAAAAAATGAATTGGAATTGGTGAATTCAATTCCATGGAATTGAATCCCATAGAATTTCAATTCCAAGTCAATTCAAATCCCATCATTTCCATATACCAAACGGACTCTAAATAATAACTGACACATTCACCCACTAACCCCACTTAGCTATTTTCCCTTTATGGTCTATTTTTTTGTAGACCTGACAAAACTAACCCGGACCAGATAACCTGACCCGAATAACCAGGAATCGAATTCCAAATGACCCAAAAATTGAAGAACTAAATTACACCAAACACCCAAAATAATATGAATCAAACCGAAACCGAACCGAATGTAACACCCTCCGTCCCGCGAACACGGTTCACCGCGGTCCAACGAGTCGGAGAGGTCACGTAGACGGTTTTTAGGACCGTCCACAAAGAAAACTCCTTGCGTTGCTTGTAACTGAAAACCCTTGCTATATTTTATTAAATGATGAAGTTTAATTAACTTTAAAGAAATGTTTCGTAGCGGAAGTAATCATGAATAATAAACGTTAAGTCATAAATTAAGAAAATACAACAACAGTGGGTTCAAGCCCAAAACGTTTTCATAATTTAATTAGTAATTAATCCGGCCCGCACTGTCGTTCATCTGCCGCCCCGATCACCCAGTCGTCCGGGTCAGGCTCCATGGTTCTATTGCCTACTTGCGTATATCAAGGGGAAAACAACGCTATAAATTAAACATTGATATAAACATAATCGTACCTGTACTAAAGTACGAGGTACCACGTACAATTTTAGCGAATGAGAGTTTACAATTAACAATGATGTAATGCCAAATAAACATGATGCATGAGTTAGACTGTGCAGGGACCCCCTGCCCTTCGGTGATCATCCCCACGCGGTAGATGAGTCGAGGAACGCCTTAGTCATCCCAATGGAGACTAGAATGTGGGTGATATCTAAGCCTAGCTACCATGTACGTACACAAGCCCTTCGTGATGAAAACTCATTGGATCCCGCAGGTTCCTGGACGGGCCTGCAGAAGAGGCGCACTGGGCTTGACCTCTTGTCGCGGTATGCAAAGTATGCCATGATCCTAAACATGCGTCTAGAATATACTTGATGATATGGATGCATTGATTACAGAATGAAGTTAAGTTCAACGCATACATAGACGTTTGATTCCGTATGAAAACACTTTGTTTAACATGGTGACTTTGGGTTCAGAACTGGCTGATAATCGATTATCCATTTCGAATAAACACTTTGCCAAAAGAGCTTAGTTCACCTAGCGGGGAAGATCTAAGGGGTTAAAAAAAGGATGCAACGAGGACGTTGCATTCCTAAGTGGGGTGAATGTAATACCCCGTATTAAGATGGGAATGGGAAGAGCTGAAAAGGATTGATACTACTACTCATACCAACAAGGTGCATCTTCTTTTCGCCTAGAAACTCCAAAGTTAAGCGTGCTTGACCTGGAGAAATTTTAGGATGGGTGACCCCTTGGAAAGTTCCTTGGGCGCACAGGAGTGAAGACAAAGTGCGCAGGAAAGACTTGTGTTGGTTTGTGGGGCCAGTCTACAATCCTATGAGCAAACACTTACGGCTAGGGTGGGGGCCGGGGTGTTACACCGAATGTATCCAGACCCGATTAAACTCAGAACCGATTAGACCCAAAACTGAATAACCCGTAACCAATCAAACCCAAAAACTGATTAGAGCCGATATTGATCAAGTTCAAAACAAATTAAATTCAACTCAGACAAACCTAATAGCTCATTGGTTGATGTCTTTTTAAGAAAAATATTTGAATTATAGGTACAACTGATTTAGTGTACAAATATTTTATTCTGTATTTTACACTTAACCTAATAAGGTTGTTATCTATTTTTATAGAGAGTATATATTATATAGTGACATCGCAACACACATTAATGGATATACTGGCTCATTATTGATGACACTTGTATATATACTCCCTTTATACATAAGGAGGAGGGGCTACACACAAGGCTAACATTATGAATTCTAATATCAAGAGATCTCATCTGAAATTGGTATAATCCCGAACCGATATAAACCCGAACCAATATAAACCCGAACCGGTATAAACCCAAACCGATATAAACCCAAACCGAAATCGACCCGAAACTGGGAAAAATCCAACTGAGTTTAACCCAAAATCAAACTTACCCAAACTGAACCGACCTGAACAAATTATAACATATATCTGAAAGAGACCCAAACCGAAAAGATCTGAATCGGAATCGAACCGATTGACCCAATTGTCAGGTCTAATTTTTTGACACAACAATTGATTTATATTTGGAGTAGTACTTATTTCAATTTTTTTCAATATTATCTAGTACTTCCGTCTCAGTATATTTATAAGGGTTGACTTTTCAAGTCAAATTGGATAAGCTTTGAGCTTCAATGACTCTTAATTTGTTTGAAATTATAACATATATCTGAAAAAGACTCAAACCGAAAAGATCTGAATCGGAACCGAACCGATTGACCCAATTGTCAGGTCTAATTTTTTGACACAACAATTGATTTATATTTGGAGTAGTACTTATTTCAATTTTTTTCAATATTATCTAGTACTTCCGTCTCAGTATATTTATAAGGTTTGACTTTTCAAGTCAAATTGGATAAGCTTTGAGCTTCAATTACTCTTAATTTGTTTGACATATTAATATATTGAAGTATAATTTTGAAAAATCTCAATAAGATAAATCTAATAAAATTATTTTTATATTAAAATAGATTATGAATTTTATTTAATTAAAGCTCAAAATCTACTCAGTTTAATTCGAAAAAGTCAAACTGACCAAATAGCTAGAAGGGAGAGAGTAGTTTCTACTCCGTATTTCTGTTTTTTTTCAATATCTTCAAACTTGGAAAATTGCATGGGCCCTAAACGTAAATTTGAGAACATACAGTACCGAGAGAGATTAGAAATACCTAGCGAGGACCGATTTGCAATTTTAAATTTCATTCTCATTCACGCGCATGCGGTAGTTATTTTATGGGAATAAAATAAAATAAAATAAAAGCAGCAGAAAATAGAAAAATCAGAAGAGGGAGAAGAGAGAAATGAGAGAGATCTCTATCGAGGAGGAGAGATGGATGCGATTTCTTCTTCTTCTCTGTTCGATTTCATCGCAGTTCGTTCCAGGTTCGAATGCTGGATCTCTATAATCTCGTTTTTCCTAAAAGTAATTTTGTTTTTCGCAGCAATTATTCGGAATCGAGAATGTGTTTGCTTGTTTAGTTAGGGTATTTTGATTTAAATGCAGGATTAAGATTATTAAATTGTGATTTGGTGTGAATTTAAGTTGAAAATTTGTAAACCTAATGCAATATGGATGTTAATCACTTAATCCGGTCTTCCAATTTCTATTTGGTGGAAAAGGGAAGAAGTAGGGGATTATATAAAATGGTGACCCATATGGAGTAGCTTGCGTTTCAAATCTTTTGAGGGTGTTAAATTAGTTAGGGACCTTTCTAAGTGACGGGGATTGCGATGGACAATAGTTGATAACATGACTTGGTAAGCAAGATATTTGCAAGCTGAACGGAGTTGGATTTTTGAACTTTGAACCTTTGGCATACATTTATAATATATGATATGTTTAATGCGTAGTAAAATTCGGGGTACTAAGAAATTGAAGCCCTAGGCCCACCGCCCATAGGCCTAGAGAGTAGAGACACCTCTACGGCCATGACATGTGATTAAAACTTAATTTACACCTCCCAACTGGAAGGTTTTGGGGCCTTGGAGATGGGTTCATCCTTCTTTCTTTTAGAAAAAAGGTTTGTGAATTTTGGTTGTGTGTTCGAGTTCGAGTACCCACGTCAGCAAGGGTAGGGATTCCTCTGGGACTTGTCTGCTGCAAGAGATTCCATCTGAAGTGTTTGATGGTTGCAGAGCCTCTAATCCCTAACCAGGATGAGTCTCCAAGTGGGAACGATATCGGTTGCACAAGCATAAAAAAACAGGAAAGGTGAGGCTGATAGTTCTTTGACCAAGTTTTTATGGGGAGGGTGTGATGAAACAAAAATTTAATGTACAATCTTGTTGACTTTTGTAACGTAGATTATGTATGAATTTATCGAAAGCAACACTTAAAGACTTCTAATCATTACTGCATCGCAATGTTATAAACATACAAACTGATGCAGTAACCATTTTTTAGAAGTCTGAATTGAAGGCCCCTTGGCAGTGGAAGACTCTTTAAAAGTTTGAATTGAATGTGAGTGTACATTTGGAACACCGCCTAACATCAATGTTTCATATGCTCTTTTTATCTGCTTTCACTCTTTCAGGAGTTTCAGACAATTCATCAGGCCCCGGAAATGAGAAGAAGGCTGATGGTGGCAGCTCTTCGAGCAAGAGCGCTAGCTATAAGGCACTTGTAATATGCATTGGAGTTGTAGTGGTTTCTGTGCTATCTTTTTTCCTTTTCAAATTTTGGCAAAGAAAAAGGCGCGAAGAGCAATATGCTCGTCTGTTAAAGCTGTTCGAAGAGGACGATGAGCTTGAAATGGAGCTTGGCCTCCGCGACTAATTCCATTTCCACGTNTTACAACTGAGGTGCATTTCTTAGCGTTGCATGCTTAACATTTGTGTAAAAATCTAAATTTCTTGATTGGCAACTAAGTGAAGCCCTACCATCTAATGCATGCCATAGAATTACTCCCCATCCTCATCATTACAACCTTAATCTTAATTACTTGGGAATTGGGATGGGTGGCATGGAATTAGTCAATAAATTATCTAAAATTTGCTAATACTTGAAATTAGTGCAAAAATGGAACAAAAAGCAGTGAAAAATCTTTTACCTGGATGCCCTTGTGTAGCGACCTTTGTTATGGAAATCCATGCTTAGGCTCTAGGCCCCACTTGTCTGCCGTGATATTATCTTGCTCCAGACCTGATTAAGCTTGTCTTCTGTCACTAGGCCCACCATACTTACCCCCTAGAGGCCGCATGGCTTCTTTTAGGAACACTTTCTGCAACCTTCTTATGAAGGACTAATGTTAGAAACTGACTTTGAATTATCAAAGATATAAAATCAGTTTATTAGACATTAGACAATGAGTTGAATTAGTTGACCGGTTGACTTAAATATTTTAGTTAAGCTTGGTTTGTGTGCATAAACCGTCTATGGTCCTTAAAAATTCAAAGATGCCTGGTGTTCTACTAGATATAGTGTTAGAGTCATGTTCATCACATGATTTATATTATACTCCGTATATGAACATGCCAATTATGGAAAATGGTCAGGATGCCATTGAAATGCTGGACTCGTACCATCATATTATTTATCCGATTTCACTCTCCCATACTTTTTTTACCCCGTTTTTCATTTATTATATGCAGATGAAAGTTTCAGGACATATTGGGAAATGTGTGCTTAGCTATGTAAAAGTCCATAGGCGTTTAGGCCCTTGGAGGCATTTTAGTTTCCCTACTACAGCATATGTGGTAGATGTCATATGAAAGGGTTGGTCGCTTGGTCGATGGACGCTGCTTATTACTAGTGGTAAAAGGATTTTTCATTCATTTCAAAGTCTTCACTATCTTATTTCGTCGTTCATTTTTTCTATGTTACCTCTATCTGTATTTGTTATTGTGAAATATGCTTCTGAAGCTTATCAGATTACCTTAGGAAATGTCTGCAATCCTGCATGTGCAATGCAGTACTTTCTTAACCTTCTAGTTTCAAGTGCATATTTGTAACTATGATAACGAGTATGTTCTTTTCGGACTTATTTTCATTTCAGTTCATTTCATGTCGATTAATTACATTATAGCTAAGTTCATTTGAGTGTAGTACTTTTCAGGTAACAACATTACAAATAACTTTTAGGTTAATTCATTTATGTTCCATTCAATAAATTTCAGCAGTAGAGAACACATACAGTTTGTTGCACAGTAAACTAGTTGATGTTAAATTCTAATAGCTGGGTTATTCACTGGTTAAATGAAGTAGCCTTGTGTGGTGGGAATGATGAAAGAAATATGTGGCTCATAACATTTCTCCCTCTAAATAATTTTAAAATAGTTTAGATATGCAGTTAATTGTAGTATTGAACAATTTCTTTTAGGGGTAGTTTTGGTATAAGAAATGTATAACATAATAAGATGAAGCAACATGCCAAACGGAACCTCCATTTGTTTGTGCTGCTTATGTTAGGATTCAACTCATCAAGCAAATCACAAATCTAGCACATTTAGATTTTCCACGTTTAGACTTTCTTTGATTACTTAATAAAACAATAGTCATGTCACTTAGACGGTGTGTAGTGGATCGGCAAATCCCCCGTTCCCGCCCATTTAACGCTGCAAATGACCAAAAGTCCAAAACCTTGGGCATTAATTGTTTAAGAGCATTGGAAATAGCAAGTCAAAAAATGGAATGTCACACGGTGATGTGGAGCATTTTTACCAATCAAAATGAAGCCAGTCAGCATGTGCCGAGTGGGTGGAGTGGCATGTCATGCAGTGACAAGTAATTATTTTTGTCATTTTTTATACTTTTGTGACATTTTTTAATTATAAAATTTTTGTTTTATTTATCTTTTTTTCATAAAAATATATGCACTCCTTTTTTTAAAAAAATCTTTTTTCGACAAATAAAAAATAAGAAAAAAAAGAAGAGAACCATGCCTCGCACAAGACATGCCTTGCGTGGAGGAACACACAAGCCAAACATGGCAAAATAGAGAAAGGGCTGAATGGCTAATGTGGCATGGCGTGGCGGTCATTTGCTTCGTCATTGCCAATGCTCTAAGCGTGCTTCCAAGCACGAGTTGCATCATTAAATTAAAATACTACTAAAACTAATAATAATAGTACTGGTAATAATAATAATGCACCACTACCATCCATAAAACCACTAACTTATTTTGCTATGAAGTAGGGAGATTGTTTTGTATTTTTCATTAACTAAATTTAGAGTAAGTTTTCGAAATGATCTTTTCTAATTATGTGTTTCCAAAATGATTCTTTCCAAAAAATATTTACCTAAATATGATTAAAACATAATGATTTTCTCAATATAGAACAATATATTTTTATTTTCCAATGTACGATGATTGGTCATTATGCATTAGTCATTATTTAAGTAAATATCCACTATCATTAGATATTATCAAGTTTTATTTAGGGAATAAAAAAGTTTAAGTCTTACATTGAGAAATGACTTATGTTTTACTCCTATTTAGTGCAAATTTTTCTCTTTTTCCAATTAAGGGGTACATATAATTTGAATTATACATTATTACGATAAGCCAAAGGATAGTCTAGATTCTACATGGAGTTATATGGATTTTGATTCATTTTAAGGAGTATTAATTTTATCAAGATTTGTTTAGATTTTTAAAGTACTTTGGTTATTCCAACATTAGTAATTAATTATAAATCCACTGTAATCGATATAAATTACTATAAAATATAGAAAAATAATGACTTCAAACAAAATAGTTTTAAAAATGTGGATAAAAAAGAACCACTTCGTAAAATATCAAATGAATTTGTTTTTCAAAAAGAAGAAAATTACGTACAATATACGGAGTATCTCACAAAAAATCCAAACAATAAAAAGAGTTACATTTTTTTACAGATGAACTTTACTAGAATTGTCAATTGAAATTATTTTAAGAAGAGTACATGCATAGAAAAGAGTTACACTTACATTTATTTTCACATGAAACTTTCAAAAAAATAATCAATTAGAAGTAATGACATTTTTTTGTTTTCTCAATGAAAACAATGACAAATTCATAGAACTCATGTCAAAAGAGAAAATTTGAGTTGTAAAGACTCTAAAGAGTGCACAAGAGAAGATTATTTTTATATCATAAATAGTGCAAACGCGTGTGTAGATACATGTGCTCGAAAAGTCTAACGTCTATACTACTCAATTAGGTTAATTGAGTCAGTCTACACTAAAAACTAGTAAACTACTACTCAAATTAGGAGTACTTCATAGCGCTAGATTACGAACTTTTTTACCCCAAACTCCTCGCCACCTGAAAGTATGAACGAGGTCTAGGCTAAGCCTCTAGGCTGAGCGCTAGGTCGAGGTCGACCACCCAAGCCACAAAATTGGCCCACAATCTTGGGCTTCAAATCATCTTCATTGGGTCTAATGTCCATACATATAGGGTATCCATTACATATGTGGATTATGATCATTGGTTTGCCTCTTAACTTTCGCTAAGATTGTCATTATGCTTGACTAGTTATGTTCATTGGGCCTATGCTCTCTTCACCTGATCCGATTGATTCTGATCTGAATGAAATAAATTATGATCTGATCTATTTTGATGTAGTCTGATCTGATCTGTTCTAAATGTTGTTATATTTAAAGTTATTTAATTTCTAATCTGGTCTTATTTTAATAAAATACAGAGTAAGTAATACGGAGTAAGTAAAATAATAAGTTAGGGAAAACATGACCTACATATAGCTACTAAAGATGTTGATTGCCTTGTGGAGTATGGAGAGATGTGATTAGGCATGATGGATGCTACAAATGTTTAATAAATGTGTAATACAACTTACTAGAGGGGAGGATAAAATTAGAAAGATAAAAGAGTTTTTGTGTTTTATCCCATTAGGTGGTTCAATTAGGGATTTATGATTAATTACCGTGTTATCTAGTTTAAATAATACGGAGTACAACATATGTTATTATGGTGTTATTTTTATTGTAGATTAATTATTTCAAGATTAGTAATACTATACTAAATTTTTGAAATAAACATTTGCATTAAATATGACTAGAACATATGTCATTTTCTAATGTATAACTTAAATCTTTTTATTCTCTAAATAAGACTTAATTATGTCTAGTGAAAAGAATAATTCTCAGCGATTGTGCTTGAATAATAACTAATAGATAATGATCAATGATCATATATTTAAAAATAAAAATATATGGTCCTATATTGAAAAAGTCATTATGTTTTAATAAATTTACCTAATTTTATGTTGATAGGTCCTGTATCTTAATACAAAAAATTATCAAAAACATTGTCAAATTATGTGAATGCTAAAAATTCTAGATTCAATACAAAGACTAACCCTTGATTGAATGCAACATTTATGCAATATGAAGTAAGAAGTTTCTTTATTCTTGCTTTTGGAAATGAAAGAAGTCTTTCAAAAAAAGTATTGAAGTATGAAAAATCTTTGGGAGTGAAGGGTTTGGTAATTGCAGGCAGATTGCAATTGTTCAAACGAGGAAAAGCTCTACGGAAGCTGTGATTATACACAACGTATGTATGTGGGAGTACTTCATAGTTCATACATATATATAAAAATCCCCTCTTTCGTCGTCACTCTCTATTTCGCGCACCCCTTTCGCTCATCTAAATCTTCCGATCTTCTCTTTCTCGTCCATGGCCGCTCCGCTTTCGAAATTAGGTCTCGGAAGTCATGCGATCGCCGCTAACAAGATGTGATTTTCTTAGAGCTAAGCGTTAATTTTGATTTCTTGTTTTCAGCGGATTGCGTGTTTTTATTGTGTGCGGCTCGCCTAGGGTTTCCGGACCGTAGATATTGCGCATGAAGGGTCCGTTAGATCGGACGAAGATTGTGCTGCGGCACTTGCCGCCGGGGCTTCCCCAGTCGGCGCTGTTTGAGCAAATTGATTCTCGCTTCTCCGGTCGCTACAACTGGTTCTCCTTCCGTCCTGGCAAGAGCAGGTTAGAATGGCGATTTATGCCGCCTCATGTAATGTTTTTTTTTTAAAATTTTTTTATATTGGGGATTTGATGCTGAGTAAATATTGATTCATTTGGTGGCCTCTGTGCTAGTCACATTTGATATTTTGATTTTTTGTACTTCTCCAAGTCATCATCCCTATTAGCTTATGTTTCCATTGTTGCACTTGGACTGTTGGACATCTCTTTAAGTTATGGCATAAAAAGGAAACATATGATGTTTGTGGGTTTCTACCATTGCAGCTTGGTTTGCAATTATAATCTTTCTGTCTATTAATGCACCTCTGTCCGAGTTCATATGTCTGTAATTTATGCTATCATCGTTTTTTCAATTTTCACGGGTTATCACGTTGTCTTTAAAAATGGCTTTTACTCATCCATGATTTTATAACCCTTAGTTGGAAATAAATTAATGGAGTTGGGTTGTTTTTAGTTAAAGGTGCCAGGGACTTGAGTGAGATGCATTTAAATGATTTAACTCAATAGGAACCATCATTATGCATTACGAGAGACCGTTCTTCAAGATTTGATATTTTTTTCACCCGTATTGATTCATGTCAAGTTTTTTTTTTTTGAGTGCTGACCATTTTTTAGTTCTATAAGTTAAATGTCTTTTAATAGATTTTGATTTGGGTATGAAGTTTACAAATATTGAGCACATGAATGATTTTACTATATTTTTTGAGTGGATATTTTTAGATATTTGTATTCTGTTGTGATCGTGTCATTGTGTATAATTTTGCTTTGGTGACAATATATTACCCTTCACTGATGAGTGTATCTTAATAGTGTCCTGTTATATGTTCTTTTTTTTCAGAGTGGAAAAATAAAAATGGGAATAGCAGAACACTTATTGGGTGTTTGATCTATTTCCTCTTATAAAGGGCTGTGGTTTAGATTTTCATAAGGGATTCTGTTGTTGTTGTTGTTGTTCTATATAAATTATACCATTATAGTTTCTCCCACAATCCCAAGATTATGTTCTGAGTTGCCATTCACAGTCTCACACTTGTTATCCTCTTTGTTTGTCTATTTCCGTTACTCATTTGAAAAAATAATACAGTTATGTCATATTTTCTTTTGTAGAAGTTTTAATGAAAATTTTAAACATATGATTATTTTTAATTTAACACCGACAATTAAATGATCTGAACTGATAATAACTTCAGTGGAACATAATTCCGCAACAGAGGGAGTACTAAGTATTTCAATTTCAAATTCCACCTCTATTCTCTCTCATCTTACCACTTGACATAACACTGAGTGGGATTTATGATGCCATATGTACCATTTTGATAGCAGTCGGTTTTCTTTACTTAGCCTTTTACTATTAGGTACTTATTTTGTAGTAGAATAGTCTTGCTTACATTAGTTTTTTCTTAATGATTCCTTGCAGCCAAAAGCATCAAACTTATTCAAGGGCATATATTGACTTTAAGACACCAGAAGATGTTATTGAGTTCGCAGAGTTCTTTAATGGTCATGTCTTTGTTAATGAAAAAGGTACCAAGGTCTAGCATATAGTTAAGATGTATTTGACAATTATCTTTCTTTTAGATCTTGTTTCTATGTTTTAGTTTTTTTACTTTGCGCCTTTGCTTTGCAACTAATTTTGGAACCTGAGGTGTATGCCATCTTTGTTTCTATTGCATTTAATGACTTACTCTTTTGTAACAGGGTCTCAGTTCAAGACAATCGTTGAGTATGCCCCTTCACAGCGTGTTCCAAGGCAGTGGTTAAAGAAAGATGGTCGTGAAGGAACTATCTTGAAAGGTACTGTAATGTTTTACCGATTCATGTGACTTAAGTGCATTGTGCTACCTTATTCTTCTCTCTAGCAACATATAATTGATTAATGGAATTGCAGATCCTGAATATCTAGATTTCCTAGAATTTCTTGGGAAGCCAATTGAGAATCTTCCTAGTGCAGAGATTCAGTTGGAAAGAAAGGAAGCTGAACGTGCAGGTCTGTCTGAAACACGCACTAAGCTGCAATCTAGTTAATCGGCAAGGATCTTTTGACCCAAGAATAAAACAACTCGAGAATGGACCGGGCATTTTGGTGGTGCTCTGCTGGTAAAATTGATGGTTCCTACCCCCCTAACCCCCCTGCCCATGGGGGAGGGGCTGGGGTTGGGTGTAGGGGGGTAGGAGCCATCAACTTTACCAACGGAGGACCGTAGGTGACCCAGGTCATTTTAAGGTCAAAATAGCCCGCGTCAAAAGATCCTTACTGGCAATTAATAATATGTATGTGATATACTCAGCTAACCTCAATCCCAATTCCCAACTATATTTTGTTCACTAAAAAAATGAGACAGTACATACTTAATTATGGATTTGAAGGCGTGCAAGCAATATTTCCATTTTGATTTTCAGGGGCCCCTAAGGAAGCCCCTATAGTTACACCCTTGATGTCTTATGTGCGTCAGAAAAGAGCTGCAAAGATTGAGGCTCGGGTAAGCTATCATTGTACTCCGTCCATTCATTTTTAATCGTCCATTTTGCTTTGCGTGCCAAACGTTTGACTAACTGTATATAAAAATTATACCAAATTATTGGTATCAAACAATACTTTTAATGTATTATTTTTAATAATTTTTTTTAAATATATTTTAAGCGATATTGTTGGTCAAACATTAGGTAGGGAAGTGAACCAGACACTTAAAAAGGAATGGAGGGAGAAATATTTAAGCTATCTATATTTTTTATTTTTATTCAGTGTTACAATATTTTTTTTGTGATAAATAGATTTTATTACATAATATCACAAACCACAATAATGAAATTAGTCTCAACTCTCAAAATTGTAATATCTTTTTGAAGTGCGAAGCTATTCAAATAATCTTATTTTGACCTAATCATTAACAGAGAGTGTCCAATGGAACATCATTCAGAAAGGTTGGGCTAACATCAGCAAGGAGCCCTGCCTCTAATGCATCTAAACGGAGTTCAGAAAAAAAGAGGAATCCTACAAAAATGGTATGCCGCCTTACCCTTTCTATGTAATGAATTCATTGGAAACAGACAAATCTATCTTGCTATTCAAACCGCCAATCTAAGAGTGAATATTAATAGAAACATTTCCATGAGTCCAACAGAAGATAGTACATAGAAAAATGAGTGTTTGTTACTTTTTTCCTTTTGCCTCATGAGGTGTGTAAGCTTGCGAGTGAAACACCTTTGCTCTAATTAAACTTCTCTGAATCTGTTTTTTAATATCTCTTTTGGTCTTTAATCTTTATATTTCTGCAGAGTTGATTCTACTCAACTTTTATAATCAGACCTTGCTGTAATTTGCAGTATGTTCAACGAGACGCTTCCAAGGTCGAAAGTAGCAAGGAGAGAGCATACATTCTGGTACGGAAACATGATGACAAAGAATTCTTTGACAAATCTGGTACTTCAGTTTCTGCAGCGCAAGAGGAAGGTGGTATGCCTCTTCTAGTTTTGAAATCTGGGTTTACTTGGAGCTTATTTATTCTATCCCCAATTCTAATCTACCGACTTAATTTATCTCTATTGAACATTATCCCACTGCTTTTGCATGGTTCTATGTTCACCATTTATTGAATTGCTCACATCGAAGTGATTTTTATGAAGCAATTCAACTTGTGTCAGGAGATCCTGTATTGGCTGATAGCGGGAAGAAGAAAATCCTACTTTTGAAGGGAAAAGAAAAAGAAATTCCCATTGTGAGCTGGTTTATTTTGAAGAACAATATCTGTCATTCATAAACTGCTTCAAAGTTTTGTCCTTTTCTTTTTTAAATGATCCGCAAATAATGCCTGGTCATTTATTCATGCATACAGATCATTAATATTAGTATGCCATAGTACTATTATGATTCTATGGGGTCCACCTCTCTGAAATGGAATAGAAGTATAGAACTGCTATAATTATTTCCTTTACTTGTTTCATGTGTAGGTACCATTTGGTCCATCAGTGCAGCAGAATGTTGCCCCTCATCCCAAGAATTCATTTAATTCGTATGCTTCCAGGACAAGCCAAAGACGTGAGGCCAGTGGAAGGATTATCAGAAGTATACTTCTCAAGGATGCTGCTCGTCAAAATCATTCATCATCTGGTGCTCAATCAGAACAGCAGATTCATGACAAGGATAAAAGACCTCCTAGGCCACCTCACAGTTTGCAATTGTCTCAGACAAATGGTAATGGATTACCTGAGGATAAGTTTGCAGGGAATGATTCACACAATGCCAATTTTGATAAGATGGAAAGACGTACAAGGAGCAGGGATAGGCCAGATCGTGGTGTTTGGACTCCACTCAAACGTCATGATAATTCACAAGCAAATGATGAATATTTGTCATCATCGACGTCTCAGTCTACCCATGTCCAAGATTCAGATGAAGGTTTGTTCACTCCTAAACATCGAGCTCCTTCTCGACCCTATTATAAGGCCAAATTACTCAAACAAAGGAAAGTAATTATTCTCTTTAATTCTTAAAAGAATGATATTCAAATTTTACCCTCTTTTCACGTCTTGTAAATGAGTACATCAAAAAAGTACACAAACACAATATTTATTAGGGACGGAATGGAATTATGAAGCACCACATAAATGCCTCATAGAAGAGCAATGCCTTATTAAATGTACCTTTTTGCTCCTTTTAAAAAGGTGTCTTGTTATAAGGACCAACAACAACAACAACATTACCCCAGTGCCTCAATGGCTCCTGCCCATTGCGGGGTAGGGGGGTCGGATGTATGCAGTCTGACCCCTATGTTTAAAACAGAGAGCGGCTGTTTCCAGATGACCCATGATGAGCGTCGAAAATTGCATTGAGTAACTGCTACTTCACAATAGTGAATCTTTGGCTCCAAAGGGGAATGGAAATTCTTGTAATAAGGACCAGTAGGAGAGAATTAGTATGGTGCTTTGAAGATTTTTTTTTATAAAAAAACAACACATGGTGCTCTTAGTTTTCGGGATTAAAGAAAGAGCAATTTCCTTTTCTCTTTCATTTCTCATTTAGTGACAAGGATAGGCACATCTCTTTCTTAAACCTTATGTTTTCTTCAAAATTTCTAGGAAGCATCATGGAAGTGAAAAGTGATGGACTAGGCGCCCGCAGCGGAGAGTTCAAACACATGGGAGGTGGACGAAGCTCTCGTTCTTTTGATAATAATGGTTAGTCTTATCTCATGAACATAATATAGTGCAGTTTGTATTAGGATACTGATGCGGGACTAGCATGTCTTTAATGGACCACCAGTAAACATTTATATAATTATATACTCCCTTTGTCTCTCGAAGAAGTTTATGGTTTGAGACTTTGACTTCACTGAGTTTGAGAGAAATGTTGAAAGTGAAAAGTGTGGTTAGACTTTTCTAGAAGAGGGAATTGTTTTGCGCCATACGGATTTCCTAAAAAGGAAAACGGAGAAGCGTGAAGTGTATTTTGAGACGATTGGAAAAGGAAAATGTAAACTCGATTGTGAGACTTTTATGGGTTACTTACCTTTGAAATCTTTAATTAATTAATGTAGGTACACCCAGATATGGTGGTCGTCGTGGTTCAGCATATAATACAAAAGATTCCGATAGCACTGCATTTGGGGAAGGGAGGTCCTCAAGAAGAGGAGGTCCTGGATATGTTTCCCATGAGGTGTGCTTTTTCTGAGTATTGGTTTCATCATGGGCTTGTTTTGAACTTGGAAAACTATGAAAAATGATGCAGGAAAAATAAAAAAATGCTTCAAACTCAACAAAACAATAAAAATAAAAATTTAAGTATATGTAAATTCTTAATTGTTTTAGTCAAATTTCATTTTTTTCTATATTTTCCTCTACAATTTCCCGAGTTCTAAAGATGGCCTAAAGGTGCCAAAAAAAAGGTCACTTCAAATGGCCAGTATTTTAACATGCAAAGAAAAATCCGGTGGTTATTCCTTCACCATTGCTAACTTGCTTTGGATTGTATTGCATGATAAATGCAGAAGCAAGTGTGGGTTCAAAAGTCAAGTTCAGGTTCTTAATTTTGCTAGTTGTGGTAAGTTCAAATCTTTTTGTTCATCAGAATGTGCATTAAATGTTGATTTATTTATTTTGCTCGCCGGCTTGTTTGAATAATTGAAATTAATGAATTTTGAATTGGCAATGCTTTCACGTGGGTAAAACTTGGATAATTCTGCAAATGCATAGTAATTGATGAATTGATTGCATGATTGATTGCATGTTTTTTGTGTATACACAATTGTACATATATATTATGCTGTTTTCCCAATTTCACACGCACACACTTGATACTCTTCCCTGGACATCTGCTTTGTTTTTTTATTCTTTCTGAAAGGATCATATTTTGGTCCCTATTTTTTGGAAGGGTCATATTTTTTTTCTTTCTGGAAGGATCATATTTGGGTCCACTCAACTAGGCTGCTCATTTCCCATTTAGTGGATATAACCCCCTCCTATACATTTTAGTCTACTGGGATCCTTTAATGACTTATGTAGAATCAGTTACTTAGTTGGGTGTAGGTTTTGGATGCAAAAAACTTTGGAGGACTTATTTCATAGTTTTGGCAATGAAGTGTTTCTAAAAATGAATTGAGTTGGGGATTGAAATCTTACATGATCGCCTATATTGTCTATTCCTTCAATTTTAGAAAAATCTTATATTAGAATATGAGATGCAGCCTTAATGCAGCGATTGAGAGGGGGTTTGAGGTGAGGGTGAGGGTGCTTTCTCACCTTAGATCTTGATCCAAGTGCTAACGATATGCATTAAAAAAAATATGTAACCCTTTGGGTCCATTGGATTCATATTTTCCAATGGATATCCTACACCCTTAGATCAAGATCCAGTGGTTCAAATCACCCTCTCATTTTACTCCCCACTCTTTGGTACGTTTCCGGATAGACTTTGCCCTCTAAACCCTTGTGATCCTTCCTCTTCCAATGAACTTGAGTAAACAATCACTTCATACTTTTTGGGGGTGTATACTATATATCCACCACATGTGAGTTGAGAGGCCTAAATGAGCCAAATGTGCAAGTTTTTCTTTATATTATTGTTCTTGTGATCATTATTGTTAGAGTTATGATTGTTATTATTCCTTGTGTGCTTGAGATTAGTCAAAAACTAAGTAGTTGTACTAGATTCTCACTTTTAATGGTAGTATTTTGGACCTGTGTGTAGTGAAACGCCCGATTGCGTACAACACCCAAAAGTATAAATGGCGGTGCTCTTTTTGTTTATGAGTGGGCAACTTTTACCAAAGACACATTTATGGAAGAAGAAGAAGAAGAAGAAGACCTTTAGCAGTGGGATTTTTGAATTGCTACACCAAGTGAACCCTTTGATCATCGTACTACACAAACACAGTACAACACACCAAAGACGGTCCCAGTGGCAAGAACGTCTTTTTACGACGTGAAATAACACCATGATGGAGGCGGGTTTCTTCAGCGGGTCCCATGGAAATTACCAGTTCCCGCCATTTCTCTCCCTGGTTATGAAGAAGATAGTTATAACTAGGGGATCCCAAGAAGTGGGTTATATTTGTTGACTTAATGTATATACAAAAGACAGTATTCCATTGCTTAAGCCCCCCCCCCACCTCACCCAACCCCCGTCCCGCCCTTCCATCCGCGTAGTATTTGCATATACATATATATTCATATATGTTATCGGCGTTGATGTTAATGCTAGGCTTGAGTTGCTTGATGTTTTGGCAGTGCTGTTTTTTTATACTTAGGGCCTAAATATGGGTATTGAATCTGATTGGTTTTGGCATAATCTTTGTTTTAATGATGTCTACTGCCTAATGAAATGTGTTTCGAGTATTTTTTTACTGTGTTATTTACTATCAATTCTGTCTCAAATTAAATTGCCTGCTTTGATTTGCAATAATATTTTCATCTCATTTTCTTTATCACGTGTATGAAATAAGTCTCTCTCTCTCTCTGCATTTTACATACGTTTTATTATTTTTTAGTAATTTTGTACTTTGTAAATTTAATTAGAATTAACTTTTATGGGATGTAAAATGTTATAAGTTGTAGAAAGAAATTATTGCACATTTTGTTTATACGAAAGAAGAATTTCATATCAAAGATTAAAGATGTTTGTGAATTAAAATATACTCATTCAATAGATGATTTTGTTTCTTCATGCATTTTTATGATATTAGGCACGGTTTTGTTGACACTTGTTAACGAGATGACACTAGTGGTGTTATTGTGTTTTTGGATTACTTCCAGGAAAATTTATGTTTGTAAGTTTCTTTTTTGGCATGAAAGATAATGCGCAGTGAGAATGATTCAAAGGTGAAACGAACAAATTATATTTTACAATCTTACTTTCTTTTCTACTTGTTCCAAAATGATTTTCTTAATGAAATATACGGAGTAGATTGGTTAAAGCTACTTCTCTTTTTTTAAAACATAAATTTCAATAATATAATTTCTTATTAGTGTAAATTTCATAATTGGTCCTTTATAATGTGTTGATTTTCCTATTTAGTAATCTATTATCTAATATTACTCTGATAGTTCTTTTTTTATAAGTATCTTTTCAAACAGTTCTTTTTTACTTTCTATCATATTGGTGTTGATTTGAGGACTAAAAGTATAATTTACAATGATAATATATCTTTCTTGTCATACACAATTTCAAAGGTCGTTCTTGATGCGTTGTTTGAGAATAAGAATCGCTTTCTACTAACATAATACTCCGTATTTTACAAATGTGGTCTTTCATCAAAATTTTAGCCAACAATTTTGTTTGATAAAAAGAGACTAAAATAATATAGTCATGTCACCTCTAGTTTGATAAAATAATATAGTCATGTCACCTCTAGTTTGATAAAATAATATAGTCATGTCATCTCTAGTTTTGTATATCTTTTTTGTGTAGATTTTTAAATACTCCGTATGTAACTTTATTTTTTAATTTCGTACTATTTTTTATATAAAATAATTTAAAAATAATTTTAATCTATTATTGCAAAGTGCCACACTGCCATGAGAACTTTATTTATTAGGGGGAGAGTATACGAAAGTGGATGTAAAAATAGCATTATTGAAAGAAAAAAAATAACCAGTTGGTGGAAGGGTTCCACAAAAGAAGAAAAAGTTGAAAGGGGGAGAAAAAAGGAAGTGGGGGATCCGAGAAAGTGGACCCGAGATCCGGAAAAGCTGACACCAAAGTCAAAATCTCATAACTGCTTGGGGAAGGCAACGCATGAATGTCTCTCTCCCCATGTTATCCATCCCCCCATTCTATTCACATTTCCTTCCTTGTTCCACACGCGCCTTAGATGCGTTGCACAGTTGGTAAAAATAAAGATTGTAAGAAGATAAGATTTGAGTTTGATTTTTGACTTTTTTTTATCATTAATCTGCGATTGAAATCCAATTTAATTCTTTTCAGTGATCGTTCAGCCGGTTCTGATGGAACCCTCGGGGATAGAGTTTATCATCCTTTACTTTCTTGTTCCACAATACATGTTGCTCTTCGAACAATGTGTAAAATTTTATGATTTTAAAAATTATTATAATTTTATAAAGTAGTACAAACATAAAAAATAATTTATTACACTATATAAAAAATATTAAAAGTTTTATAAATCAAGTAGTGATAAAAATATTTTATTTTATCAAACTATGAATGAAAATATACAACAAGCAAAAGTAGATCCATTCTTAGGTCCATCGTAGCATCACTAAATTACTGAATCGCATACTTCCTCCGTCCCACTATGGCTCTATTCTTTTCGATTGGAAAAATTAAATTTAATATTATTCAACTCTTATTGTTTTTTTTAACTCTTTCCAGTTATGCAATTCAGTTGTTTCTAGTTTCTCGAACTTCTTCCAAATTGTTTTTGACTATTTTTATTTTCTTCTAACAATGATTTAAAAATGTATTTATATATGCATTAGATTGTCATTTAATTGAATGATTTTTTTAACACTTTATTTTTTTAACATTGCTAAACTCTTTCGAATTTTTTTTCAACTTCTTCAAGTTTATTCAAACTCCTAATTTTTTTCCAATTTCTTCTAACCTTTTTCGAACATCTAATTTTGGAATTTCAAAAGAAAAGAATAAAACCTAAATGTCTATATCAAGCCACTTCACGAGTTTTACCATGAAGTATTTTACCTGCACTAATACACATTTGCACAAAATATATGTGTCACACAAATATTTTATGTCAGTATTAAACATAATGTGCAAGTAACATTATTTATTGTCCACAACTCTTATACTCCGGTATGCAAGAATTCTTTTTACATGAAAATAACCCGTATGAAGTACTTAAATTAGCATTGAATTTTAGCTTTAAAAAAAATCTCCTGGTAGAAATTGCATTGTCTTTTGCATACTTTCTTGCTAAAGCTTGCTTTTTTAGTACGAGTAGACTTGAAGAAACTACTGAAAAAAAAAGCTCAAAACACACCTTCTATATCTCTATTTCTAGAAGAATTTATTGCTACTGTTAATGGAGTATTATGCTTTAATCAATACTCTGTGCGGCCTACGTTTATAATGTTTGATCCAAGAGGAAAAAGTTTGAATTCATGATCGCGCTTCGCAGAGGTCAGTTCGTAATTTCATTTTTCGTGAAATTTGCATTTCTACCATGCTTTTAAGCGGATTGGTAGCTTAATTTGAAGAAATTGGTGTTTTCCGAAGCAGATTAGCTGCTCGATTTGTAGAAATAGGTATCAGAAGGAGGAAGATGAGAATCTTAAGCTTTTGTGGAATGTTTTAGGTTTATGGTGTTTGTCATTTGATGGGTGATAGATATAACGCAATTGCATTCTGTTTACGTGTTTGAACTGCAACAGCGTTGTTTAGTGGCGATTTTGAAGTGTTCTGGTTATACTTTGATGTTTGGCTTTGATGATTGAAGTTTTGTGATTACCACTTTGAATAGAGTATGTGGAATCAGGTGAAGTTGATTTAGGTTTGATAGTGGNGGGGGGTGCACTTGCAGTAGATCATTATTAGAAACAAACATTCCTTACATCTTGATGATCACAATTAGATCTTACAGTTTATCTCTTCTCTATCATAATCAGGTGTTAGACTCAAGCTATATTGACTTCAAAGCTTTGTGATCGCATTAGGTAACCGGGTTTTTGGTGTGATGGAAGTTTACAACAACGGCAGTTATGTGGATAGGAACTTGGACCAGTGCTAGAGCTTGTGGAACTCTGCAGGCTTAGTTATGGCATCTGCTGGCCCTGGCCATGGAGGCGCAGGGAGTTCTAGGGGTGTTAATGGATTCAAAGATCCATCGAGTTCACTTGACTGCCTGGCGAGGGAAATGCTTGAGATGGGATTGAAGGATGCGGTGGACCTCGACGATGATAAGGTGGCCTTCTTGAATGAACTTGTCACATGTTACCTTATAAATATTTTGGACTTTTTAATATGGCCATTTCTTTTCCATATTAGATATGAGTATTTCTGTTTCCTTAATGCGTATATTGTTATGCAGGACAATGAGCCTGAGATGATAGAAGGTGTGGGTGTAGAAACAGGACACGTTATTGGAACTACTATTGGTGGTCGAAAGGGTCAATCCAGGAAGGTTAGTGAACTAACTTAAGAAAGTACATAGTCAAAAATTGTGTAGTGCTAATTTCACTTGCACTTTAACTTGTTTGGATGGGGTTGGACAGAATATCAGCTACAAAGCTGAACGTGTGATAGGAACAGGAGCTTTTGGTGTTGTTTTCCAAGTAAGCCCTGGTATTTATTTTGGACAGCATGTTCTCTTTTGTTTTTGTTTATATACGAGCTTTGATTCTTATGGTTTAGAGCAGGCAAGATGCAGAGAAACTGGAGAAGTTGTTGCGATTAAAAAGGTTCTTCAAGATAAGCGTTACAAGAACCGGGAGTTGCAGATAATGCAGATGTTAGACCATCCTAATATTGTTGCACTTAAGCACTCTTTCTTCTCAATGACAGACAAAGAAGAGCTTTATCTCAATCTTGTCCTTGAATATGTTCCGGAAACTGTTAACCGTGCTGCTAGGCAGTTCAGCAGAATGAACCAGCGGATGCCATTGATTTATGTCAAGCTCTATACCTATCAGGCATGTCCATACTTGGTTTTTTTCTACAATTAGTTCCAAGCCTGTTGACACATCTGTTGACTAATTCTTTTAATGTCCTGGATAATCATGGCCAGTATTAGTGGTAGCTTGGGGTGTTCTCATTCTGGGTGCATTGTGCCCTTTTCATTATTGGTTCATGTCATCCTACTGTTCTTATTTTCTCCCCAAAAGCCACCTCGGAAATATAAGAATAATTGCTCAGTATCATCTTCCAGCTAACACTTTAATGTGCACTTCAGGCTTGGTTAATTCTTTTAAAAATATGCACTTCTCTTGCTCATTATTACTATCACAATTCACCGCTAATTAATTGTCTATAACGCTTTGCTTACAGTAGATAGGAAGACGGGTATGTAGAACTTGCTCTACTGGGATCCTGTTTATATATCTAAAAATATTGTACTCAGTACCTCTTAATTCTATCATCAAATATTTGTACCACTTACTTCCATCACCCCCTTACTGCTATAGGAAGGAATATACAGTATAATGTTTCTACTCCACCTTGCTGTGTGCATCCAACTTTGAAAATTAACAAACTAATGTGCATTTCCACAGATCAAATTTACTACTACAGCCCACTTATGGGCCTTGTAAGATTTTACAGCTAGAGTCCTGCTTATGTTATTGCTGATATTAGTTACTTGAATTTGAAGAAATGCTGATCGCAGGGTAATCTAAAACAACTGTCAAATTTCCTTTAACACATC